TGGGTCTTTTTGCATCATGTACAATTCTTCCATTGACAGGTACATCTTCAATTTATTGTCAATGGTTATATAAACGTACAGGTTGTCAATTAAGTGCTATTGTGGCATTTTTATATGGTTGTTCAAGTTCATATTTACTTTGTGGAGCAAGTCTTAGTCGATGTTATATTATTATTCGACCATTTCAAGCTAAATATATTACTGTAAATAAATCATTATTGTTAATAAACAAAAAAAAAATATTTAAAACTTATCGTTAAAATGATTCTAGGTAAATAGATGTATTGTTATTTCATGTATTGCAATATTTATTGCATTTATTTGGACTATGTTACCAGTAATTGGATGGAATGAATATACAATGGAAGTTAGTATTGATTATTTTAACGAATTTATTTCATATTCATTATGAAAATACAATGAGTATCTATATTTTTTTTTAGGGCGCTCGTACGTCTTGTTGTATTAATTGGTATGATCGACGTACTTCCTATATTTCATTTCTTTTTTTTCTTTTCATTGTTGTCTATTGCATTCCACTTATAATTCTCATTATTGCTAATACAATTACAATGTTTGGACTTAAACAAATGCGTGAAAGAATTGAAAATGGTATTCAAACAGTATTCAATCGAAAACGAATTGAAATGGAACGATGTATTCTTAAAAGTAAGTAGTTAATATTATTATTATTATTATTATTATTTTCTTTGTTATTCATCCAATTTTGACATAGGCATTATCATTACAACAAGTGGTTTTATTTTTACATGGACTCCTTATGCAATAACATTTTTTGTCTCGGCATTTCAAGGTAAAGATTATGCTATACCACCAATGGCTACTTTCTTTTGTGCATGTTTTGCTAAAACATCAGTTATATGGATTCCAATGTTGTATGCTGTTACATCAACACAATTTCAATTAAATTTTGTCAATCGAGATGCATTAGATCAATCAATAGGAACCAAACGAATAGATGCAACAGTATTTAATGCGCCTATATTACCTCAAAAAAATGGTGAAATCATGATGATGAAACCTATTACTGAGAATATTAATGACATACAATCTATTGCTACTAAAATTGATTAATATTTGTTCAGTATTTGTTTGTAATAAGTGAACATTAATGTGTCTTAATTTTTGTCGTGATTTTTTTTCAAATATAAATATAAATATAAATCAAGCAATGAAATAATGCAACAACATATTATAAGAACTAGCATGAGCTCGTACATATTGCATGGCTGTTTTCTCCTTTAACGTATGAACACAACCACATTCTGAAATCTAACTCAACATGATTGTCAGACAAATTAAAATGACTGCCACTTGTGAAGAATTCTCAAAGACAAACAGTCAATGTTCGCAACCAGATTCGGCACGTCTTCACCGAATCTCAAAAGTGCTCAATAAATGCAGTTTATAGGTTCAACACTTCCTAGCAAAGACTTATTTCCATCTATGAACAATGAACAATGAACAATCGATGTTGAGCATCACGATATAGAAATTAAGTGATCGAAGCATCGATTGACATGTGTATGACTGGTGGTACCTTATAGATACATGTAGAAAAACGGAACAACTACTTGATACACGGATACCGTTCAAAACTTAGCAACGATGAATTCTGTACTGTATTTATTTGTAAAGAATTTGAATCGGTTGATTCACGCGTTGACTGTCTCTATGATTTACCCTATTTCTGTAATACATCTCGACTGATTCGATTCTGTTGTTGTATAGAAAATGAATAATTCGCTTATTTTGTATACTAAATGGTCCCTTTGCAGTCATTATGTGTCAATATTCCTGAATATCATGTCAAACGCATTATTAAGGTATCAAAAACTTTTGAATCGAGATATATTATTAAAATTACATTATTCAGATAATTACAAGTTTTAAATCTTTATAGAACTAGTTAGTAAACTGCGATACATCTACACGGCATCAAATAAATACTGATTCTTTATTAACGTTCATGATCTCTATCACTCTCATGGCGAAATAACTACGTTGCTCATGCAATCGGAAAGAATGAGAATAGTAATGGTATAATAACCGTTTTGAGACGACCAAATGAGACTTGTCGAACTGCAGTTGAATTAGTATAACACGATTGGGTAGCTTGGTAAAGATTAACACACCGCGTATACTGCAGACATATAGAAGAACATGATGTACAATCTCCATTAGTGTATACATTATAGTTTAAACATCCATTAGAACCACAACAGAAGCAGCGACATTGATTGTTCCCTGTTATAGGATTCGTGCATTGACCTATAGTTTGCCCACTATACAATGAAGATGGACATAAGGTGGAATATGTATTTTGACATGCTTGCGTACACGCGAGTGTAGAACATTGCGATGCTGAAGTATTGCCCACATTAATGATGGGTAAGCATTTTTGAGTCGATTGACAACAGTAGCACGAGCACCCATTACCAAGCCATGGGCCAACCGTAGTGGTGCTTACAGTTGTGAGTCCTAAACATATACCTTGCGTTTGTACATTTTGGTTCATTGAGTGGCACATGCAATGCTGCACGATTCTGAGTCACATCCATAAGCAGTCGTGTAGCCAATCAATACGGGTGTACAAGAACTACTCCCTGTATTGCAACAATTGCATTGACAACTATATGAACCACCTGAAGGTATGATAGTGGTAGCACTCAAACATTGTGAATTAACTTGTCCATAAGGTGTAGTAAATCGGCATTGAAAGTATGTGCTACTGCATGCTTGAAGATAACTGTCCGTTGTACAATAGAAACCATATGTATAGCCAGTTAGAACAGCTTGACAGTTTTGTCCCTTACAACATGAGCATGAGCATTGATACCGTTGGGCTTGGGTAGTCGCTACCAAAGTAAATATTAAACAGAAAAAATGTCTTTGTACTTTTAACGTTGACTGCATCGTGAAAAATACCGGGTGTCCCAAAGGGTGTGGGTGTGGGTGTGGGCGTGGGTGTGTGGGGTATGGGTGTGGGTGTGGGTGTGGGTGTGGGTGTGTGGGGTATGGGTGTGGGTGTGGGTGTGTGGGGTGTGGGTGTGGGTGTGGGTGTGGGTGTGTGGGGTATGGGTGTGGGTGTGGGTGTGGGTGTGTGGGGTATGGGTGTGGGTGTGGGTGTGGGTGTACATTTTCCTCATACTCACACCCACACCTACTTCCACACCCACACCCACACCCCACGCCGCACACCCGCACCCACACCTACACCCACACCTCACACGCACATCCACACTCACACTCACACCCACCCACACCCACACCCACACCCCACACCCACACCCACACCCCACACCCACCCACACCCATTGTATACTTTCATATTTAAACTAACTTGTGTCAGGTTCGTGGTCATTAATTTAATAACAAGTTCATCAGTTGAATTAAAGTAAATGATATGTGGCCATTGACAGAAATCAGAAAATTTCAACCAATAACGAATTGCATGGGGATTAAATTCATTATTAGTATCAGAAATATGAGGATCCAAAACACCTGATACTATTGAAGCGTTGTTTTTCTTTTCAAACACACTGTTCCAAGTTCTTTCATTCACAACACAATATGTAAAATACCATTCAGTAAGAAGATCAAGTGATGGAAAAAATGGTGGAATATTCATTCGATATTGTTCAAATAAACTCATAACAGATACTTGATATGGAACATAAATAATGCCCGGATGCTCAGCAAGTTGAGAATATTCATAATGACGTTTGCATGCATCTCGTAAATGGCCAACAGCTAATGATATCTTGGGTGTGAGTGTGGGTGTGTGTGGGTGTGGGTGTGTGGGTGTGGCTATGGGTGTGGGTGTGGCTATGGGTGTGAGTGTGGCTATGGCTGTGGGTGTGAGTGTGTGTTGTAATCTTCTCTTCTCTCACCAACACACCCACACTCACATCCAGCCACACCCACATCCAGCCACACCCACACTCACACCAACACTCAGATCCACCCCAGGGTGAGAATGAATGTAAATGATGTTAGAGCCGATACGAATATCCGTATCTTCGTGTCTGTTAGTGTTGTAATGAATCTGAGTGGAAGAAGAATGCGCTTGTGGTGCTGCTTTTCTCCGATTGTGACTAGTATCATTACATTCGTTCCACGCCCATACCCACACTCTCTTCCATATACACTAGTAACTACACTCTCTCACCATAAACCGTGATAGTGTGTGAGTATTTCACCTTGACACAAAATTAACAACTCAACACAAACAGCACACCGTCTTGTCTTGGATGTGGGTATGGGTATGAATAAAAGGAAGATTAACACCCACACCCACTCTAGGTGCAAAGGTTCATAACTTTTCTTTCTTTGGAATATTCTCCGTTTTGTGATTCATTCACGTAAACACATTTTCCTTGACATATTTTGCTGTTATTATGCGCCGTTGTTTTCATATTATCAGGAGTTCTGTTTAGGTAGACAAATGCTTGCATGCATGTCTTCCATGCATCTTGCGTTGATAAAAGAAATAGATAAACATAAAGTCTAAAGTTGCTATATCACACGACAGGCATTTTAATATTCTAAACATAGACATTGAAGAGTCTGTGTGTCATATTTTTATCAAGCCACAATACTTTAAATTTCCATTGTTGTATAAATCATTTCAAATGAAGTTAGTGTTGTTACCATTTATCTCGATACTCTTATTTGTATCCAGTATATTCAAAGTTGACAGTGCCCGTTGGACACCTGAACAAGCCAATGTTTGGTATAAGAATCAACCCTGGTTTTTTGGAGCTAACTTTATACCTTCAACTGCTGTCAATGTAATCGACATGTGGCAAACATTTGACATTTCTACGATTGAACGCGAGCTGAAATGGGCCTCACAAATTAATATGAATATAATTCATGTTTTTCTTCATTTTCTTTTTTATGAACACGATGCTCAAGATTTTTACAAAAAATTAGACGATTTTCTTACTATTGCACATACATTTTATATAAAAGTAATGTTTGTTCTCTTTGATGAATGTTGGTTACCCGATCCTAAGTTAGGTCCACAACCAGATCCTATTCCAGGTGTTCACAATTCACAATGGGTTAGATGTCCTGGACAAAGTAGAGTATTAGATACAATTACATGGCCTTTACTGAAACAGTAAGTCATAAAAAAATGGACAAATCTGCAACTTTTGATCTATTTGTTGATGAAAATTTTTATGGAAACGAAAAAGAAAGAATGTTTTTCTTCCTATCTGAAAATATTTTGTGGCAGTATATCGATACTCATCTATGGAACGAAATCAGACGGAAAATTTGGATTTCGCAAGGACTCTCAATAATATATCTGAGAATTTAAATTAGTGCACCCTTGTCATTTTATCAGAATTTTTCATAGATGGTTAAAAAAGTTTTTCTTTTTAAATTTTAAAAATCTTTTCCGAATTCATTGGAAAATGTATTAAAAGTATTTACATTTATTATTATTTTAGTGAGATTTTATTTGAAAACAATATTTCAAATTTTTTGTATGAAGCTAAGAATTTGAACATAATAGAAGTCCAATGAACTTCTATCTATTCTAGAGAGAACTAAACAAAAATCTTTCATTTTATTTTGAAAAATTTCTGTACCATTTCATGTGCTTTTTATTCGGATTTTCTAATTGGTTTTGTTTATCAAACAATCCAATACTAACTCTTGCTTATCATGTAATAATGTGATTTCGATTTTATCTTCAGATACACCATTGATGTACTTTCTCGATTCTCAAATGATTCACGAGTAGTCATATGGGATTTATACAATGAACCTCAATGTAGCCATCAATTATTTATTATTTTACCTCTTCTTCATGAAATATACTCAGCTGCTCTCGTAGCCAATCCTCAACAACCACTTACTTTCGGTATAGCGTCAAATTCGTTAATCAGTCCGTTAGCACGATTTGAGCTCGAATCATCCGATATTATTTCATTTCACAATTACGAACCATTAGCAAATACAATGCGACTAGTAAACGACCTACGTCAATTTAATCGACCATTAATCTGTACGGAATATATGGCTCGAACACTTGGCAGTACTTTTCACACGCATACATTCTACTTTCATACACAAGCAATAGGAGCTATTAACTGAGGTCTTGTAGCAGGCAAAACTCAAACATATTTTCCATGGGGATCACCAGTTAATGCTTCTACTCCTCTTGTATGGTTTCATGATATATTCAATAATACAGGCCAATCATATTCACCTTATGAAATAGAATTTTTCAAAGACCTTAAAACCAAATCATCATTATAGCATGATGAATGAAAATTTTTACAATATCTTTCTTTTTGTAATATAGTGAAATGTATGCTATGATTTGGAAGGAGTGTGCTTGTGAATATGTGTATCAATGAAGAAAAATATACTGATATCCACACTCACAAATTTCAACAAAATAATATTCATTATATGAGAGGCAGCTTATCAATATAAGGGTGCGAGTCTGGGTGTGTTCTCATCATGCACATACGCAACCATACCCACACCCCACACTTTTTATATTGAGTATGTGATCTATCTTATTATTGGCATTTTCGACAACGTCGTGAAGAGCAGAGAAGAGAAAGAAAATTCCATGTTACCATCAAGAGACATAGTTGGTAACAACCAAATTTTGTGCTGTCCTGTCGAATTCTTTCATAAATTCAAATTTACATATTTTTTTTTCGACACGTTTGCTGAAGGAACTGTTCGATGATGACGCAACGAGAGTGTTGCTTCACATTACTCATATAGTGTCAAACAATCAACGATTGAGACCATGTTCACACCAGTCATCTTTTCAGTCGACGATAAGTCACATTTTATCGATGCATTTTCTTTTGTTGCTAGGTGTTATGAGTAGGTGTATAGATTGCATCATAATTGTTTATTCTTCCATAATTGGGGAAAAACCATATTGATGACTATAAAACCGACAATATTTATTATTATTCTTTTTATTTTAACTTTTTACTGTCTAACTTACACTTAGTACTGCGCAGACTCACAACTATTTATTGCATTGTTTTACAACAGCAAGATACAGATGATGGCTCCACCTTACAGTGATGTAATTATGGCACAACCGTTTGAAGAGGTTCCCATGCCCGAGAAGCCCGTTGAAAAATCCAATGGAACCAGTGAACATCGTATTCGAAATGACATATGGCATGAGCATGAATCGGGTACCTAAGCTCGATTATTCTAGACTCTAGTTGGAAGAATGGAAAGAAAATCTTCAGGATTTATACAAATCATCATGATATGCGTAACAAGTATTTTCCATCTGGACAATAATCGTAAAGATGGTTTAGCTATGTGTGAACCATTTCAAGTCTCTCAGATATACATGAATACTCATTTCTTATTATTTTTCTTATGTAAAATTTCAGAAAATGATGCTTATTGAATAAAAGGAAACAAAACAAAAATGAAACTTGTAATTCTTGCATCGAAATTGGAGTATGGGTGTGAGTGTTCCTTTTTTATCTCAATTTCAAAAGTTCGTAGATACAATCAACTGAAATAAAAAAATAGTCTATATAGAGATCGAATTATTACCATTGGTGAAGTACTCATGGATTGCCTCTTAATTCAGCAATAGCTTTTAGAAATAATCTTCGATGTAGAATTGTCGATACACCTAATTCTTGTAAAATAACATCATCCACACATGTTAACAATACGTGGCCGTTGATACCGTGCTTGAGAAAGCCGTCTGAATAATCTTTATTAATATCTTTCAATGACTTCACCCATCGACAAACACTCCGGGTACCCCATTGACTACAATCTTTCAACAAAGTTAAAAAGAGAAAATCAATCAATCTCAAGAAAAATATTTCAGTGTATCGTTACCATCCCCATTAGATAGTAATCTCACTTTGACACATCCATCAGAATAATGACTTTGAGAACAACATGTCCACCATCCTTTAACAAAATTATATTCTACACTCAAAAATCTTCCTGGATGATAACTGTTTCTTTGCAGTCCTGGTTGACAGCAACCAATAGAATCGGGTCCTCCTGCTCCACAGGCGCTCCGTTTTTCGTTTCGTTCTTCTCTTGATGCTTTACAACATGATCATTGATTTTTTATCTCATCGAAATCACCAATATGGACATAATTCTCATTCTGTCTATACCATTCAATAGCTTTGTGAAGCAATTGATTAACGAAGTTGTCCTTTCTTGTTGCATAGTGTGCGATTGTCAAATGAAGTCTGTTTGCTGTTAAAGACTTTTTGTGTTGACTATATGCATCACGAGCATCAGGATGAGCACGAAGGTACTCACGAAATACGATCAGATCGTTTTTTTTCTCGCCGAACAATCCAGGATCCGGAACAATATGAATAATGAATCCTTTCTAAAAATATATTTTATTAATAGATCAAACAATAAATGTGCCTTTTTCTCGGAATAAAACACTTTTATAAAAATGTCGTGGGAATGGCTCAGATACTGCACTCCGTATTTATGCTTGTATCCCATGCTCAGTAAAGTTTCGAACACTTGGACACCTCGGCCACCATCTCTTAGACTTCCTTGAATAATGAGCATATCAATGATAGGCTTGGCACACATTCCTTCCACACTCGTACTTCCTATGTGTTCTATTTCTAACATTAATAACTGATCATGTTCACAGACACGTTCGTCAATCGGAAGCTGGCCCTGAAATAGAACAAGACTATGAACGTTTATGGTCAATCTATTGATGAATTAAGATTTTTCGTGGCTTACAACAATATTTGCATATTCCTTTTTATATAAATTCGACCATTCTGGATCATATTCCTTTAATTCAACTTCTTCAGATTCATAATTTCGCCATGCTAATGAAGTCTCCATTTCTTTTTCTTTCATTGTAAAATAGTAATTCACATGATCACCTGGATAATGTGGAGACTTTAACATGGCATCCGGTAATTGATCTTCTATCAAGGAACGTAGAAAACGATTAAGTTCCTCTGAATGAAGTTTTTCGAGCTCAAAATTGTCGATGTAAAAACCATTCCTGAAGACCGAAACCTTGTTTTCTTCATTCTCAACTCCTGTGTTTTTCTTACTTTTGATTACCCACCAGTTCGTTCCAAATGACATTTGTTCTATTTGATCGATATCAAGTAGATATTATGATTTGATTTATTGCAAAGTTTTATCTTCAAAAGTAATCAAAAAAGTATTATTCTGAATCTTAATATAAGTGTAGAGCATTAATGAAATTCATACGTATCAGACTGATATTTAACTATGGTAGTACAAGTGTGGGTGGTGGGTGTAAGTGTGGATAAGGATGAATGTAGATTTGGATAGGTGTGTGAGTATTACTATGGCTGTGGATGGGTGAGGCTTTTGTTATCAGCGACGCCGACATTTAGGCTTACACCCAATATTTGGGCGTTCGTGGGTATGGTTGTGTGGGTGTTAGTGTGTAGGTCTCGGATGTGGGTAGGTGAGCCTCTTTTTATCAGTGACGCCGATATCTACGCCCAGTGGGTGAGTGTATGTGGGTTTGGATGCATGTGTGGGTATTGGTGTGAGCATCGGTAGATGAGACTCTTGTTATCAGCGATGCTAGCATCTATGCCCACACTCAAATCTTATAAGCAAAGATTTTACAGTTGCTATTAAGGATTCTCTCATTTTTCTTCATAGGCGAGCTTTCAAAGCATGGAAATATCGTCTCTCGTGACTATCTTTTGAAATAATCAGTGACATTATTTCTATAGTTCGATCTCGATATCGAAGATCGCGAAAAGGTCATTAAAAAAAATAGAACACACAGGTATAAAGCTAATTATGTTAGATTTGGACAAATTTCTACAAGAAAGAGCCAGTAAATCAATAAAGCCATGTGTGATGCATACAGGTAAATACACTTGATAGATTACCGAGTGAAAATAAAGTATGAGTCGATCAAATAAACCAAAGACGTTTCAAATACTCAAACATTCGATTAGGAACCATAGTCGTAAGTTACCTACCAAGATACGATAGTCAATATAAAATTTTTGAAAACAACTTCAATCAGAACAGCTTCTAAATTGGTTGAATGCTGTATATGCAAAATGTGTTGTTTGTTTGATGAAGAACTCTTGTATTATTCGTGAAGCATAAAAAAGCTTTACTTATTTTTCTTTTTTCTTCCTTTTCTTTGTTTTTTTTTCAAACTTCTCTCAATCGTGCGCTTTCATGAGAAGCATTGCTCATGGTAACAGTAAAGTACACAGTAGGAAGAGCAGACAAGCAATGACGGCGAACAAAGAAAAAGAAATTTGGTAAAATGAAATAAAGTTGAAATCGACTACAAGCGTCGATACTCATTTGTCTATGATGCGAATCTGTTGGCATCGTTGAACAACACACGCTGATAAAGAATGATAGACTTCCTAGACTATCAAGTAAGAAAGACATTGTACGCCATCAAAGTTTATGTATCTAGAAATAATCAAATATTCGTACAGTATTATCTATACGCTAGAAGGGTGTGGGTGATCTGTTTCATCGACACCCACACCCATACCCTTTCATCAATTAAATTTATTGAAAACCACGATAACCTGTTAACTCAGTCTACAGTTCCTTTCAGAATTGGTTCAAGTACATAAGCTACCGACGAATGATATACTATTTGATGCAGAACTCGATTGTGTAGCGAATGGTGTACGACTCCGCAGTAGCTCACGTCCCTAAATCGATCTCTAGAAGAGTTAATCGGCCGAAACACCAATCTAGTTTTCATTCCGAGTCTTAAATCGGTCAAAGTACCATGTAACCGATGGTCACCAGTACCAGCTGTATTTTATTCGGTAGAGCATGCAATTCTCTATCGTTTCTTATGTCACTCGTAGGTAGCTTATGCTTATGAGCCAATGCGTACGGAAAGTAGAGGACCGAAGCAGTAAGTTATACTGACTTTCCAGAAGTTTCATGGGTGAAAATAGCATTCTCTTATTCTGTAGCACTATTCGATTCATTCTATTCAATGGAGCATTGAATTCTGCATCGAATTCTATGTGGTTCATCAGTGGCTTAGATATTTGAACGAATCCATAAGGAAATTAGTGGGTCGAATTAGCAAGTTTCCTAGATGAAAATGCTATCACATTGATATTCAGCAGTGCAAGCTGTATACTGTTCAATAGAGCTTTCAATTCTGCATCGAATATGGGGATTATGATATGTAAGATAAGTAAATGTCTGCTTATTGTTCATTGTTAGTTTCTCGAAATTGGTAGAGGGCATCATTTTGGTTTCTCGTCACGAATCCTATACCATTCGATGGAGCTCACAAATCCGTGTCGATTGATGTGATTTTGAGAGGTTGGTGTGGATGTACGAATATGTTGTATACACGCCCACACCCACATCCCTGTACCTGATTAATTTAATCGAGTTCTATATTTGGATAGTAGATGATTGAGTACTCTATATATAGATATGTTCAATTCAGAGAACTGTTGAAAATGAGTTATGTCAAGAAAAACGAACTTTTGGTACTAAGAAAATAAAATGACATAAAAAATACAAAATGATAATAGAAGTGTTTGGAAGAATTTTATTGTGCAATAAGAACTTTTTCATTAGCACATCTTTCTGAAAAAATATCAATGTTCTATCATTTTCTTAAGTGAAAATACATACAAACTATAGCAATTTTCTACATATTTTTATTATATTAAATATGGTGAGAAGTAGCACTATCATGTATTTTCTTTTCATTTGAAGTACGAAATAAACAATTAAAAGAAGTCAATAGAGTTTGTTCTTACCGATTTTTGTAGAACTTTTCAGGACGCACCATTTGACATAAAAAAACCAAGATTTTATCATTTGTCTGTGCATAAAATTTCGCTCAACAAACTATGTTTCAAATATTTTTTGACACACTTTAAATTTCACAAGACTTAGAATCTTGATTATAATATTGTCATTTCTCAAGGAAATTCAAAATATTCTTTTTCCAAAATAATCACCGAAAAAAGACCTACATTCTTTCTATTTTTTGTAATTGACTGATCGTAGAAATATCTTGTAACAACAATATCATTTTCTTTTTTTATGCCATTTTTTTTTCGTATCAAAAGTTTATTTTTCTTGACATAATTCGTATTCAACAGTTTGATGAATTGAACATGTGGGTGTGGGTGTGAATGATGAAAATACTCACACCCACACCCTCAGCACATGTATCGCTTCGCTGTTGATTTATAAAACGTCGATTGCGATAGAGGTAAACTACACTAAAACTAGCCATACAGTGTGACGAAATCGAATGAATTAAATCAATACTCTATATAAGAATGAAATGTTCGTTTATATGACACACATAGTTTCATCAAAGAACATTGTTTTTTCTTTTTTTGCATTCATGCTCCTCTTGCATAGTCAAACACTTTATCTTCAATTAGGAAAGTTGTTCAAGATTCAGAGCAGCAGTTCCTGCAAAGGATACCATGATTAACAACATATTTTATTGTATAAACTAGCAAGTTAACCTATTGAGAAAAACCTCTTGTTATGAGTTTCAGAAAAATGAATGCCACTTGAGAACTACAAAAGCTAAAAAGGTGGACCGTGCGTCATTTTGTAGAGGAGTTTTTGGGCTATCTTTTACATACTTTAGATAAATAGGTTTCTATGAAACTTTAATAAACTACGATATACTCTTGAAAAAAGTACTTCATAATGGTGAAAATGGCAGCTCTCTAGCGTTTTCGTTCTTGAGCTATTTCAAAAATACCCACGGTCATTTTGTTTTTGGACACACATTAGTTATGGCGGCTTGGTCTCAAAATGAATAGAATGGATTATGTCGAGGGTCAAGTGAGTCGTAACGACGAGCGTCACTTGTTATAATAATAAAATTTATCTGTTGATGTCTAGTGTCTCTGTATCTACTTAGGGTTGACCAAAAGTTCGTAGAACGATATTTAACTTTTTATAAAATACTTAATATCAAAAGATTTATTGCATCAATACACAGTAAAATGCCTGGTCTATAATTCTAGCAGTCTTATAGATAAACTCTATGATACAGTGAATATAGGAGCATTTCTCGCTCAGGGTTCGAATATATTTTGGATTTACCAGATGTTTTGATAACATCAAATGAAAATATATAAAGTGATACAAAGCACCGTTCGAAGATGCTGATTTATTCACACAAAAAAACTAAGTGAATCGAATGAACTAACTCAATAAATGATTTCGCATTCTATATATACTATCACAAGTAATATTGAAAGTGCATATGACGTCAGAAAGTGTCATATGAGAGAGAAAAGAAAACATGCAAAATTCAGAAATATACTCGAACTCTGGACGAGGAATGTCCACATATTCACGATATTATGGACTTTATCTAAAAGACCGTTAGAATTATAGACGAAACATTTTACTATGTATTCATGCAATAAACCTTTCGATATTAAATATTTTATAAAAACTTAAACATCGTTCTACGAACTTTTGGTCAACCCTAAGTATTCGTTGAATGATCAATAGTTACGAAGAACAGACAGGGCATGATCGATTGAGGGTGCATCTGTACTTCTGTAATATTCTCACCCTCATGATCACTTAATATACATTTGTGTGAATCAAATTGATGCACCATTCGATTGAAAACAAATTTAGCGTTAATCTATGGTGTGAAAGGTGGAGTTGTAACGATAATGTATCAGTTTTTCATTCTTGACTATCGCTTTTATTCGTTGAAGTAACGCTTTCAATGTATATTGTTGAATTTCATGTTGTTGAAAAATGAACGATGATTTAAAATTTTCCTTAAGTTAAACAGTCATCAATATATCGAATATAAATTCTAAGCTTTACTTTTTATTAATCAATAAGAAGGTTTTTTGTTTCAAGAAAAACTTTAAATGTTTCTCAAATAAAATTAAAAGGGATTTTTCTATTCTCGTGTGAAAATTAGTAACTGTAGCACTAATCAACAGCCTTTGAAACAACACCAATTAGGATCATCCATTGTAGAATAGCTGCATCCACCCCAAGAAGAACAGTATCCTATAGAAAAATCAGAGTTACAACCATAAGGATATTGTCCAGAGCATTTGCCATCACAGGAAGCTGATACAGGTGCTACAGTAACTGTTGTTGGCGCATTTGTCAAAACTGGTGAGCTTGTGTCAGATGGCTGTTGATTACAACCTTTGAAGCAACACCAATTTGGATCATTAGTAATAGAATAATAACATCCACCTCCTGCATTACAATATCCAATTTGAAAGCCAGAATTACAGCCGTATGGGTATTGACCTTTGCATTTACCATCACAGTTGGGTGTTATAGGTGCTGCCGTAACAGATGCTGTCGTAACAGGTGCTGTCGTAATGGGCGCATTTGTACTAGAATCTATTCCAGCTGAACATTTAATTCCTGATATGACTCCAGATTTATGAATTCTTTGTGTTCCTGTTTTTAAATAGCAATTATAAGAAAAAAACACCCATGAATTACAGGCTGCATTCTTATTGCACTCCGTACAGCAAACTTTTGGATCTGATGCTGCAATACCTCCAAACTGTCCACCGGCAACATCACTATCCATGTAAAAATGACATCCATTAAAGCATGTGGGCGCTGGATCTGGATCTGGAACTGGTGGCGTTGTTGTATCACATCTATCACCATACCACCCATCGATGCAAACACATGGTTTTTTTGTAACAAACAAACTTCCTCCAAGGTATAGAGCAGCACAATTACCATTGACGCATCCGGCAGCAGCACAAGTATCAATATTACAATTTAAACCAGAAAATCCCGGATTGCACAAACACTCTCCTGTCGCACAATCACAGTATCCATTTGTACAACCATTCGGACATTTGCCAGGACAATCCTCAACATTACTTAATTTTGGTTGAGATCTACAGTCAGCGGGTGGCATGTCAGGAAAAGATGTGCAAGCTCCTCTTCCTTTTACTGTAAGATAATTATCTCCAGACCAAATGTATCTTAAGAAAAAAATTATTAAAAAATGTAGTTTTCAGAAAAATTACCTTCGATCATGCTGAGAGTGAACTGGATATGGACAGTTTCTACCAGCAACAACAAGATCAATCTCATCTCTCTTCCAACGATTTCCAAAAATCGGGTCAGAAAATTCAATAATCCAATTAGGAGATATATTTCCTCCATTAGTCATTGACAATTTGTACTGGTGATCCAAATCAGGAACAACAGTGGCACTGTAACCTCGTTTTCTGTCTCCAATTTGAAAATGATTTAACGTAACTGAGCTTATCAGATTACCCGATTGCCAAAGTTCCAACCGCATCGGTTGATAGCTTCCACCATCTTCATTAAATGTAAATATCTAAAACATTTGAGGAAAATATTAAAAAAAAAATAATCTTATGAACTTTTCAAAAACTGATGATACTTCAAGTCGGCGAACAGGTCTTTTGCAAAAAATTGCTCCTAAAATTAGAATTAATAATCAAAACAGTTTTAAATATTTTAATTTTGTTCAACATACCACCATCATATTTTTGTGCAAATTTACCAGGATCTTGATTTAAAAGTCTAGCAATATCATTCGAATTAAAACAAGACGCACCATTATCCAATGCTAAAAGATAGGACCTTAAATAAATGAAAAAAATTCTTTGAAAGAGAATCGAAAAAAAGTCCTACCAATATGGATTGACTATAGAACAAAATCCAGCTGGAAATAATTTATTTCCATTGAAGTTTTTCTCATCATCAGGTCCAAGTGTAAACATAGCTCCATTATTTGGTCCCCATTTTAAGATTGGTCGGTCATCAGATATAACACCAGTCCATTTCATATTGACAAACACATAAGTTGGCATACAAAGTACTTTAGATAAGATTTCAATTTACAAAAATAAATAAGAAATATTAGCTACCTCCTGTTACTCCAACTTGACAATGATGACTTGATTCAAAATGAACTTGGTCATTAAAAATCATATTTTCCAAAATAAACGTTCCATGACCATCAGGCAAAGCTAAATTACCTGAGCTATAAAATGAGTCAGCAATATGAGCAGAACAACCGTCTTGAAAATTTTTTGTTTCTTTCCAATAAATCAAATTATTGTTATTAATACTCGTATGAAATCGATACTGTAAATCACCAGCATTATATTGGCCTACAAATACATTGTTATAATCTATATTATGCATAAATGTCGCTGGTAATCCATTATCTTCACCACTTGTAGTCCATTCTTGACATGTGCTTAAAGTTGGTAAACCATTTTTTTCAATTGATCTATCGGTTTTTTTTGGAAACACACTTGCAAGTACATATGTACCAAATCTTCCACAACCGTGAAAAGTATTTCCTTCTAATCTTCCAATTTGTTGAAAACTAAGGCATTCTAAACCACTTAAGAGACCTCGACCGCTATCAAATCCTTGCTCTTGATACAACATGCCATTGTAATTATTAGCAAAACGATTTCCAATAGCATAACTAGTAAAACTCAAACCCCATAAACCAGCTTGATTTAATGTAGTATCCGCTTGATCATTATCGGTGCCTTTAAAAACAAAAATTCAAAAATAAAATTTTGAAATTTCAAACCCACCTGGTATAGTACATCCTCTTTTTTCTCCAGATTTTGCCCAAGGACATATTCCAACATTATAAAATATTCTATTATACATTTCATTTCCATCTTCAACGTATATTGTTGCACCACGAATGTCATTGTAAACATTATTCTCTACAGTCGCTAAATGTGTTCCATGAATAGTGGTACCTCTTTGATGACCATACTCAAAAGCATTGCCAATAATTTTACAATCAGAACAATTACTAATTAAATGTAAATGTACACAGTATTTTCCTAAAATACCACGTTGGCCACATTTCTCAATCCTTGTATATTGGAAAGATAAAACAGAACCGGGTCCAATTGCAATTGTATGCAATCCAAGAGTGCATTGATTTCTGTTAATATTTTTCCAACATGAACAATGGTCGGCTTGAATATGATCGGGTGGTTTGCCGTCAACTACATCGTTCACACAATTAACATGTTGAAAATCGTCTCCGGTAATTATAATATTACGCGAAAGATTAATGACTTCAGCTTGCATGAGAGCAGACATATTCTCGCCTGTATACAGGGTTTTTGACTCAAATATTGACGATATAACACCAGTTGAAGTTCCGTCTTTACTAAGCAATTTTATAGTATTGTGAGCCTCGAATCCTCCGATTGTATAATCTTCAGCATTTCCGTTTGAGCTTGGCATAGTCGGAGCTATAACAATTCTATCACCAACTCTTCAGCCCTAAGTACAATAAACGTTGACAGTATAATGAAAAACGCTGAGAAATTCTACACTAACCATATCTTCGGGTTTGTGTAAGAGACTAATTGAACTCATACCATATGTAGCTTTATCAGCTAGTAAAGACCATGTTCTAACAAGAGGGCGACCACTAACACGTATTTTACCAGCATTATAGGAACCAAACGCACGAGTCTGAACCATTGGATGCTTGAGACCATTGTTTTTAATGTAAATATAACCTTGTTTACTCGTTAGATTCATGTCGAATTGACCTCCATTGACCTGCAGAAATAAATATTCAGTTTCTTAAATTATAAAGCAAACATCTTACAGCAATGTAACCAGCACACAACCATTGATCACTTGAAGGTTGAGTAACGTCATTCCAAACTAATGAACCATCCAAAACTAAAGCAGCAACGTTTAAATTGCTATTCATTGTAACTGTAAAGCCAGTTGGTATGGTGCATATGGTTTCAGTACCACAAAATATTTGTAAATCAGATGATAACATTGAAGTTGTTATTGATTTAACTGTTGACACTGTAACTTGATTCTGATTCTTACACATGGCTACCAAGTCTCCAGGAAGTGGTGCTGAATAAGAATCTTTTATTAGAGTACTAAAAGCACCAATGTATGCTGCTTCGTCTTGTTGAAAAAAAGTATCATAGACATTGTTTGTTTGCATTAAACATTGTGAAATGAAGAAGAGATTCAAAATGATTGATATTAACATCACATAAATATATTTATTGATCTGAAATTTGAATATAATATAATTTATAAGAAAAATATTATGCATATGAATTAATGCAAAATGTATTTAAATTTATACATATTTTTTATGCATAGAATATGAAAACTTAATGAAAAAAGTTATTAAATATTTACGTTTTGTCTTAATGTATCCATCCTCTAAAAAAATCCGTTTTCTGGGAAAGTCAAATTACTTCAGGAACCTTTTCTGATTTCCGAAGTTGTAAGTGGTTCTCAGAAATACTTTATTGATTTCCGAGGTTTCCACAAATACTGACTTTGACACCATGAAGTATTCTAGAATCATTTTTTCGATGATTGGAAATCCAATCAGTATTTCAGGAAATCGTAAAGGTATTCTCAGAAACTACTATTGCCAGAGAGGATGATTCAAAATCAAAATGGGTATGCGGAAATACCTTTTTGGTTTTTGCGCTACTTCTTCGAAAACTTAAAAGATTTTCAAGCTTTCTGAATCAGGATAAAGTAGAATGGAAAAACTAAATACGTTTTCGATTTTCGATCGACAACACTTTGTGATGTTCAGAAAACTTTGGATCAACATACTTTTCCAGGGAAAACTATTCGGCATTCAAGTTTTCTATTTTCAGCATAATTTTTACTCAGTTCCTGAAGTTTTGAATAAAACAAAAATGGTCATAAATTTTATACGAGGTTGAGCATAGAAATAAGGGTGTTAGAATAGGTATAAGGGTTTAAGGATATAACGGCTGATCCAGAAGTTCCTGGAAAAATGTCTCTCCTTTTTTTACCTGCAGAAATAAATTTCGGGCAAATAAATAACACCTGTTCAGAATCTACGTTGAAAGAGCTTTCTGTCTGCGTGCTCAAAAAAGTTCTATCAGGTGCTGTCTTGGAGTAACGAGCACATCTTTCGACAGTAATAAAATGTTGCCTGTAAAAACAGCTCGAAATAATTGCGCCAAAAGAAACCGATAGTTCAGGATTTTTCGATTTTCTCATGTTGACTTAATTAGATTTCGTTAACCCTTTTCTCCTTATATTTGCCGTTTAATTGTCTGCAAACTGGGTAGAAAAGATTATATGACATTGTGAAAAAAATGGAAAACAAAGACCTAAGAAATATCGCAAAAATTGAATATGAAAGTGGTGGTGAACTAAGGAAGGTTTGCCGAGCGTTCAGTGGCGCTATTTCATTAAAACAAATCGAATCGTGCCTACAATTGATCTAGAAGACTGCCGATATCAATATGCCAAAGCCTCCCGATTGCCAATTGATGATAAGGATAAACGAAACATGAAACAATACAAAATGAGCATCTGCCCGAAAAAAAAAGGCAAGAACTGCGTACTTAAGGATTCCGACGCTGTCCAAAACAATGTCATCATATTTTCTGTCCGGTTTGTGGATATTTAAACGGAGAATATAATGGGAAAAGAATCGATTAATAGATAGAAAGCTCTTTCAACGTAGATTCTGAATAGGTATTTTTTGTTTTTCTGAAACTTGTTTTGTAGATCAAAAATGGAGGGACATCTTCCCTGGAACTTTTGGATCAGTTGTTAGCATGAGTAGTCGAAATTGTTGGTGTTGCTAAATTATATTCGAATGTAATATATGCTATACAATGTACAATAAGCATTGTTATAGAAGTTTGAGAATTTTTTTTGTCATATTTTTAATGTTAAACCAAAACCGGGATCATCAACATCAATAATTTCAAAAATTTTTTTTGCGAAAATTTTGTTACATTAACTTGAATATTCGTAACATTATATTCATAAAATATTTAACTCTTATATGATCAATTTAGTACAAATTGATGTATGATAATTGGTCGTTCATGACATACATTAAGTCATTGTGGCTGAGATGGATGAGAAATATATGGATAAAATGATGAATCAGGTGCTTTCGTTGATATAGATACAACTACATCAGCACTTGTAACAATACTAATTGTGACCAAAAAAGTTAGAATTCGAAGGTAACTCATAGTTGTGATGGTAACTGCAGTTATAAGAATAACTGGAGAACAGACACTCGTTCGACTAGCTTTTTATAGAACATTTTTATTTGACGAGGATTAATTTAATATATCTTATATCTTTCAGCTAAATCACAGAAAATTGAATGTTTTTTCACTGAAATGAGATAATAGAAAGATTGAAAACAAAAGAAATCTGATACTTTGTTATCATTATAATGCTTAAAAAATTGAAGGCTTTTTAATGGGTGCTACTCGAAGTAGAGAGAGGAGTGAAGACATTTTTATCGATTATGAGTTATTCTAATGTTAGATTGTTGAAAATTTCTTTCTATCTGTTGTTATGTCGCTTACTAGTTCTTAGAACAACAATTATAGTTTGATTGCTGCTTTAACGTAAGCAGAGTGAGGATGAGAGAGAGTTTAAAATATTTATTTTATCGTAGGAGAAAAAAGAAGAATATCAAAAATAAATTCTCTCTATTATCATCTCGCTTGTCCATGATGTCATCTTCGATAAATAATTCGAATATATCCATAGTTGATATGCTTTACTCAGCACGAAAGACTGAGTAAAAAGGATCATAAGAGTAGAACAGGAATCGACACTGCATCTTTCGATAACTGGCTGAGTATTCTACTGTTAAACTATCTGATTTTCTCTCCTACCATCAAAATAGCGACATATCCGAACATATATTTAAATTTAAATGCATCAGGGCAGTAGTGAGGGTGAGTATATAGGAGAATTCTAAACTACTTATAGCGATCGTTTCGATGATCGCTAAGAAATTCATATCATGTAGCGTAACAGTTAGTATTGTTTATTTAAAAAAATATGAGAAAAGTGTTTTATTTAGCGTTTGTTGGAGAAGGATTCATAAAGTAGATAGGATTTCATACAGTTTACATGTGGATGGCGACCAACACTAGCGATATTCTTCACTCTCTAACTTTATTCTTGAAGAACAATGATGGTATATACATGAAAAGTAAAAACGTAAAAAAGACAACATATACAAGGGTTGATCCAGGTAAAAAATAGACTTAATCGAAACGAACGGGGTGTGGGTGTTTATCGCCTCTGCACCCACACCCACACCCACACCCTAGTTCTTGTCCATTCGGAAAATAGTCGATATAACAACCAATTTGTTGAATGAATGTGTGTCGCATATCATCAATAGACTTTTGATCTTCATTGGTAATTACAGTATGAGTAACAATGTCAAAGAAGAAAATGTGTAGATGGGGCATTTGACTGAGAATTTCGTAGTTCTCGAAAGAAAATACTTGATTAAGCAATATTTAAAACGGATCATGTTTCACCGGTTTCTTGTCGGTTAATCAAGATTCCACATGACAGTCGAGTCTACTGTTTTCCCCTTGATATTATTCTTTTATTTACTTCGGCATTAAACATTTAAAAGCTACAATGCTTTCTTGTAAAAAAACGTATTTGAATTTGTAGTTTCACAAAACGATGCTGATGAAATGACAATGTAATTGAATACGAAAATGGAAGTAGCATTCAGTTCCTGCTTTTCATCTAAACCGACGTCTGTCTGTCACACTTGACATTTTTGTTGATAGACTTTCTTTTCTTCATGACGTTTTTTATCGTCATTCACTGGAAGGAAAAGCACAAAAACCAATCCTCACTGCTCATTGTACTATACACAATGCAAAAAACTATATTTATTACTTGCGTTTTCATTTATTTTAATTTCATTACAGCCAGACAAATATGAGGATGAGGGTGTGGATGTGGGTGAGATGAATGATTAAATCCACACCCACACCCGAGTAAAGTGCTTCCGCTTTCACTGTTTCGATCATCCTAAGTAATTCAAGTGCTTGTTGCATCCTTTGGAGAACAATGAATACTATCGATAAGTCCATTGACTTACATATGTGATCGAACAACGACCCTATAATCATATTAAAAATTCTTAACTATTAGTCAAATGAAAATATTAACATGAATTTAATTTTGGAATTGTAGACATAGGCAGTCGTATGAATTAGAATCACTAATTTTAAATGATTCTTTAGTAAATTAAAATGTTTTGAACGAATTTGAGTGATTTATATGATTTAATTTTGATTTTTCGCTGATTTGAATCAATTGTTTCTTCGTTGAGTACGTCCCACATTACACATTGGTGGAAACTATCCATACCGGTTGTCTTTCACTGTTGTCATTCTCCTTGTCGTCGATTTCTTCCAACACTACTTCAATTCTTTCATTTCCAGTCAGTTCTATTATCTTTCTATTAAAAGATAGAATTCGGAAAGGGACATACGGATAAATTAATACTTCCTCTTCATCTGGATTTTCTGAAAGTGTTTTCATCTCCAGAGCTGTGCGTCGATAATTATGAATGTTATATTTACACAAAAGTGATATTTGATTTGTTTTTTTGGAATCAGGAGCAGCAAACATCTCTGCAACTGCCTGGTCTTTTGAAGTTGAGAGAAATGTGGTACTTATAATTATGGAGCCGTTTTCATATCCTTCTAAAACGTTTTTACTATCAATAACGGAGCCTCTATATATGGTGAGATCTCCTTTACACAAGTATATATCTAATTTTGGATGGAATAGAACAGCAATGAACGCTTGAATACCATCTTGTGTACGTGCTAGTACGTTACAATTAAGTGATGTACAGTAAAGTTTAAGTTCATGATACGTATTTTTAGCCATGTCATTATTGATTCGTTTGCTGAATGTTTGTGAACGAGAATAAGCTCGAAGTATATACGTTGGCTCATTCTCTGCACCAGCAGTTTTAAGATCTTGGATGATGTCTTCCCAAATATTCCGATCTGCAGGCATATTAACATCATTCAGATAGCCCTTTAGAATTGCATAAACCAAATCTTTTACTGTTGTATTTAATCGTAGGAGAACTGTGATCTTCACAAATAAGAAAAAAAATTATAGTTAGATAAGCTTACAATGAAAAAATTCCAACTAATATAAGATTTTTGACGAGGAAGTTTTTATTTTATGCACCTTGAGATAGTAAAAATTTCGTCAACTTTGTTAAGAATTAGCAGATCAGTATCGTACGCATTTTATGAAGATGCGACATCAGAATTTCCCTAGTCTTTGAACGTGTATTCTTCTGTCTATATCTCTTTCAAATACAATAACATTATGTTAGTACTAGAGGAGTTTCGTAAAAAAAAAGCACACTCTTATGGAATGATTATATAGTCCATTCTTGATAGTAGAGCAGTTAATCATTGTTTGTCTAGGAATTATATGTCCGACGTAATCTACACGACCACGTCATGGCGGCGCAGTCAAAACGCTGGAAGCAGAGATCTATCGCGTAGCATAAAGTATTTTAGTTTTTGCAAATTGTCTTTACGTGATACTTTTTTTCTGATTCTGGAACCGTCACCCCATCAATGGTCTACGCCCGTTTACGTAGCTATCTGTCCGTTTCGTGCTTGTCTGACTGATGCTTAGTGTGTGCACGCGTTCATAGTGAACAGAAACGTATTTGCAGCGTGGAATACTTGGCAACTCCTGCTGTTTATTTTCCTCTGACTTGCAAAGGTAAAATTGTGTTATTCTTCCTTTCAAAAGTATATGAAGAAGAAAGTTTAAAATAAAAAAAAAACAAGCTCAACTTACCAGCCAGTGCCTTGCAACATACAATTTTTCGTATTGTAAACGAAATTTTTTGGCCTTTTTCAATGCAAAATCATTTCTATCATTTAAATGCCATTCATAAGCAGTCCTCTTATTAGGACAGTTAATGTAACATTCATCATCCGTTATAAAATCTGGTTTACTTCCAGGTACTGACATTGACAAGCATGGACTCGTTAAGTTTCTTTTGCTTTCAGAATAAAAAACTAATAAAAAATGTGTTTATCGAATTCTACACAGACTTTTCCTCTATGAACTGCTATAAACTTCTTATCTTCAACTCCATAAAAATGAATGGTGCATATTTGCACTATTGACGTTTTTTTTAATCGCATGCGATGTAGGAGAAAAAAAACATAGGAAATAAAGCAGTACTAAAAGGTAACTGCTGACACGTTACACGGAATCACTATCCTGGTTAGAATGCATTTTTTTTTTGTTCTACTATTTCTTTCTTCCATTCAGAAAAAAAGATTTATGAAAACAGTTGTCAAAGTTTATTGCATGACATAGATAACTTATCAGTTCCACTTTCAAGGTGAGTAAGTAAATGTCAATCTTGGTGTGAAGAAAGATAGAGAATGGCAATACAATATATGAGTTTTACAAAAATTCTCTCGTAAGAGACTGCAGGAGCACATCGAGAGTGTCAGGAAAACTTCAACTACTCAAACAACCCCGAAAATGATCACAAGAGTTATCATTCGAAATCGTGCACTCCTTTACAGACTTATCATCAACAGAGTTTTTCCCCAACTGATGTCAATGTTGAAACCACTCCAGTTGTACTGGTAATCTACCAGTTTGAATTCCATACTATATCGATGAAAACTTGAAAATTCAAAAAATAAAAAAAAAAGCCTTCGTCTGTTACAGAAGTCTGGTAGTCGGCCGGGATTTGTAAAAGCCAGTCTTCAAGTAGAAAAAGAGGGTTCGATGTTTCTCATAGGAACGGTTGAGTCGTGTAAGAGCGTAGTTAGAGAATAACGATGTAGAATTGAATGTGCCACATTGTTCTCTAGATTCAATTGTTACAACAGGTTTCTTTCGTAGTGAATTTTTGGTTTTCCAAAATTTCAAGTTTTCTTTGATTTTCAATTTGAGTAATTGTTTCCTTGTACATCTCATGTTTGAAACAGAAAAGAATTTTAGTTTTATCTTCTGAATATTCACGCTAAGCAAACTATAATTAAGGTCATATGACTGACATGGTTTATTTCGAAATTCTGTTTACAATAGATGTCTTCTCAATGTTTAAATGGTGGTCAACTCATATTAAGTCAATCTTCAAATGCAAGTTACTATCAGTGCGATCCATGTTTCCAGGGTATAAATTGTGCAGATCGGATTCCCGACAAACGACAAGTACAATTTAACACGGATTATATTTATCTAATTATATATTTAACTGAACTATGTTTGTCACTTTTGAATAATCTGCTTAGTCTTGAAGTATTCCTAGGCTGTGAACGTGTACGTCGTACCAATATTGGTGTCTCTCTCATTCTTTACTCAATTATATCTATCGTCGGAAGTGTATTGCTTGTAGTTGATCAATCTGTGTGGTATTTCAAACCATATTCTTTCGCAAATAATCCACAACTGTCCGAAACATTTCATTGTTTTTTTAAAAAGAGTGGAGATCAAGTAACATCGTTTCTGTGTCTTTCTCTAAGTGCTCTCGTTGCATTTGAACGTGGCCTTATCATCTGCTTTAATTTTAAAATGAATGCGACACGATGGCGATCAGTCGTTACATTACTAGTTGTCTTTTCTTTGAGTGCTGTAACTAGCATAACAATGCTGATCTACCGATGTGAATGGAATGTACCGAATAAAAAGACACCAAAGGCACGTATAACATCACGATCGTTTATTTCGGCCGCCTTTCTTGCAGGTGTCATCTACGTACTAGGAAATTTACTCGTTCTGATTAATTTTGCCCTACGTATATATCACTATGGTACTGCTCAGGAGTCAAGAAAAAAAATATTTTTCAAACTGTTGAGAAAACATTTGTTTATATTCATCCCATCAATCACCTATAGTCTCTGTATTGTTCCATATCAAATATGGTATCCAGTGAGACCTTTCCAACAGACGTATTTGTACTGTGGAATTTCCACTGTGGAATACATTTTTAAAGTCATAGTACAAGCACTTTCAGGTGTTCCGACTGTTATTACCTGGCTTATTTTCGTGTATCCATCGAATGTTTATATGACTGAATTTTATACAAACACCTGGTCAGGAAGGCATATAAGGCAAATATTGGATTCCGGACATTTCTTTAAAAAAAACTTGGCGAAAGGAGAAAATGGACGAAGAAAATATTTTTACTGTACTGCACTTCGAAGAAATAGGATATTGCCCGTGAACTGCAAAGGTAATCATTGTATCTCAAGCCAGAAAAAGTGATTCTTTCTCAAAGTATTTTTTTAATGTAGAATAAACTAACGATCGCGGGTGTACATGGGAGTGAGTATGGATATGGGCTGGTGGATGTCTCCACGGTGTGGATTAAAAATAAATGAACTATCTTCCCTCATACCTTCAATATTTTTAGCAACTCTACACAAATCGTATTTCTTGAACTGCCAGTACCTATTTATTTCATTCAAGTCATGCTTTCAAAGTTCTGCACAATCGATGAAAAATCTTTCTCACACTATATCAAATTTACGATCTCTAATAATTGAAACGCATACTATTTATTTGACGGGTGTCCAAGTGGTAATAGTTCCTATATAGATTAGGAATTTCTATTTCTCGGTTTTTGTTCGAGTAAATTTCTATTCTCTCAAATACAAGACTATTCTCATCAGAAAGTTACCTATAAGAAAAATTTTCGTAAGACGAAATAGAAGGATATAGATTTTCACAGTGAAAACTTTTATTTCATGCTAATAATCATCATTATCATCCTCAATCGAATTATCACATTGAAGATATAATTCGTTTAAATATTCTTTATCGACATAATCAGAAAGTTCTTATTCAAATTCATAAATAAGTAACAAGAGAATAAAAATTAATTCATATGCAAACGCATGCCTCAATGAACTTCATTATCGTATGAAAAGATATCGTCCAACTCTCAAAACAACATCAGATGATCAATAATCTCGAAAATCGATTCGATTTGGGTCTGGGTTTGTAAAAGATCAACACTCACATCCTCACGCCTCTCTGATATAGGCAAAGTGCATAATCGAAAATGTTAATGCAATGAAAGGTGTCTGTCGTGAGGATGCGAATTTTACCAAGATATTATTAAATACGTTTTTATAATCATAAAATTTATTGAATCAACTTCTGTCAGTAGTTAATCTGATCTTCTTAGTAAAAACTAGGCAGATTATTAATAACACTAGTTCCACAAACTTCTTTAAAATATACTTGAAATGGAAAGAAATGATTGAAAAAAGAACTAAGAATTTCATCAATAATTTATTTTAACAAGACATAATAAGAGATTCCATAACAATTTTCATGGCGAAAAAAAAAGATTCCATGATAATTATTTACAATGAAATAAGTAAAAGAGTTCACGAAGACTTCTGTAAAAAAGCGAGTTAGCGCTTGTCTAACATCAATAACACCTATTATTAATATATTACAAGGTTCTTGAGGGTGTGGGGTGTGGGTGTGGGTTGGTGTGGCTGTACGTATGAACAAAGAGAAGGCTCACACTCACACCCATTACATTTCGGAGTATATTTTGAAAACATCGAAACACGTTCAAGCGAACATACGATCAGTGTCATGCTCATAGAACTTATTTTGATTTTTTTTGCTTTTCCATTATATATGCAGTGACGTACTTTCTTGATTGATTGTCATGATTCAGATAAACTTTAGCATCTGCTTTTATGTCGCAGTTATATGACAGCTTTATTAAAATTCTAAATCGCGATTGAAATAAACTTTATCTTCTACTTTTGTCATAGTTACATGACAGCATTATCAGAATTGTAAATTATAATTCACATAAACCTTCTCTCTCTTGCTTTTTTGTCGCATCAGCATAACAAGCTTTTTTTGAATTATAACAATTGGTATTTTGCACATATCACATTACATATATATTATATAGCCTTGGTTCTTTTCAAAAGATGCATCGTGAAAGCTCTACAAATTTGTATTGACTTGTTCTAATAATATCTCCTATACCTAAAATGAACGGGTCACATAACGATGCTATGCCCCACCGTATTTAGCATAATAGAAGTATTTACAAGAACTTTTTGTTTCAATAAGAATTTGTTCATACAGTTTTTGTAGAGCTTTTCACAGTGCATTTTCTAAAAAACTCAAGATTATATGATTTATCTATGGTGTAATATTTGCAAAGTACCAAATGTTGCAATCTTTATGCCGCACCCGGTAGTATGAGACGAAATATCATCTCCCGAAATGAACTGTCCCATGATATTCATTTTGCAGTTTTTCTGTACTCAGTAAATCCTAAACCAATACTTCGTATACAACTATTTTTCGTTGCGAAGATGCAGCTTTTAGTACCTATAAAAACTCTTGTCGCTGAATGGTTTTCTTCAAGAACATGGCATAGAAAGAGTGTTAAGAAAAATATTTTGAAACTCATACAATGACAATGTTTTAACTTTCACGTTTTAGGTTGTAGACTAGATAAATTTCTAGTGTTTTTATGTGTTCGTATTCGACACGAAAAGATGCCGTTTCTAATAAAACACAAAGATAATATTCTACAATAGATGAAAAGTCTATCCATGACAAAATCGAAAATTCTTCTCGCAATTATTGTCTATTTCGAAATATAATGCGCTCCACTGTTTTTTGAATAACTCGAGAACAGCAAGCAGCTAGAGACCTGTACTTTTCACCAATCGAAAGAGAAAACAAGGGAACGTCTCTTTCTCCAATTATAATTCGAATGATTATGTTCTCATATTTTAGTGTTGAGCAAATCAAACTATCTATTTACTCACACAAAAATCCGTGAATTTATTTGAAGTTTTAAGCAAATTTTCTTACTTTTTGTCAAAATTTCATCGAAATGACAGACCATTTTTATACATTTTTTTTCGATGTTTTGTAGAAATGACCGATTATAAAATGACGACGTCCTTCTATTTCCTCTTTCGATGGATGAAAACCACAGGATTTTAGCTGTTATATGTTCTCGAGTTATTCAGAAAACAGTGGAGCACATTATATTTTGAAATGAGTAATACTTTTTTTTGTGAAACAAGATCTAAAAGAGATATTGAAGTATAGAGGTAGAAATCTGAACCCAACTAGCGTTTCCATATACATGTGTCAGAGATCCTGGCAACGAAAAACTACAGACTGTGGCAGACGCGTTGGTAAGTTTTCTTATTCACGATGGGAGTAATTCGATCGTGTTTCGCATTTTAAGCCCACAGGAATTGCGCTAAGAGCTTTTTTTTACGTAGTAAAGCATGTCAAGATCTGCTTGAACCAACAGTTTTAGCATTGCACTGTGTCGTTAGGCAAATCTAACAGATGTATACAAAAACGTACAAGTATTATATTAAGGAAGTCAGTATTTTGAGATTTTCTTGAAAATCTCAGGAACTATAAAAAGACGGAAAATACCATCAGATAGAGCATGTTGAGATTTACATGAATCACAGGTATAAGTTATGGAAAAAAAATACTCAGATGAATTCAACGAGGAAATACTCGAATCTTGATCTCATTTAACCTACGTAGCAGAAGGATGAAGGAGACTAATGATTCACAACAGTCATCAAATGTACTGTCATGGCTAAAAAGCGAAAAGATTTCTTTCGCGTGTATCTGCGTCAGGATGGGCAAAGAGCCAACAGAAAAATTGAATTGAACCATCATCATGCAGTGGCGGTGTTCTGATACCTGCCTCCTTCTCATCTCTCACTGAAGATTATAGAGTAGTACAACGATGCTCTTTGTCAATTTCTTTCAATTAAGTCATAAGCTCTTTACTACGCTGCTCCTGTCTGTTCTTCTTATTATCGAAAGTGAGTTTATTGAAAACAGCCGGAATTGTGTCACGATAGGAGAGAAAGATAACCGAGTACTATCGTTCTGTCTCTTCATTTAGAACCAGAGAAAAACGAAAAGAATAACCGGTTTCATCGTTGGGCTTCGAAATGCCTAATATTTTGAACGAAATTTTGGCTAGCAATAAGGGAAAATTTATTAACGACATCAAGCAGAATATGTTAGAGCTACTGTCTGAAGCAACCGACAAAGTAAAACAGGATGTGAACGAGGTCATTGCAAATGCTAGTCAAACCTTGTTAAGCACTGCTGAATTGACCATCGAACATGCTAAAAATGCCGCCACTACTGTATTCACTGAAACTCTGGAGAAGTTTCGATACGAGATTAAGATGGTCGTAGACGACTTAATCACTAATCAAATGGTCATAGCTATCGGCACATTCCTTTTAATAATCCTGTTGTTGATATTTGGTTATTTACTTTTGCGTATCCACACTGCTCTCGATTGTTGCACTCAAGGCGTCAAGATTATGATGAAGACGATCCTGATTGTCGTTTATCCACTTCTATGCGTATTCTATGGCTTGACTCTAATGTGGTTTGTTAAAATAGCTATGAAAACGAAGAGTCCACTCTATATCATTGGCATTTCCATCATATTAGCACCCGCCTTCTATTTGATCTGTTACCTCACTTGTTGGAATAAGATACAATTGGCAAGTGAACAGACATATAAGATGCTTAGAAAGTTATGGGTAGCTAGGAAACGGCAACATGAAGTTTTGATGCCGCCGGATGATGCAAATATTCCCACAGTGGCTACTATTTCACTTCCAGACGAACATTGAGTTAGTTATTTTATTCTTCCTTCGTTAAGAGTTCTGTGCTATACTTTTGATATCCATGATACATCTTAAGATACTCATTTATCCTTTCTTACTTATGTAATTGTGTAGTCTGCTTGTCTTATGATGCATTCTATTTCATGTGCTTTGTGTGTCTTATGATACATTCTGATTCTGATTATTCTTTTGTTTTTTTTTGTTCTTTTCCTTTCCTTTTTGGAATGTGTATACTTTTTTTCGATATATATACATATGTTTTGCGCGTGTAAAGGTTGTTCTCGATTCTGCTTATGAAATAAAAAAGCTCTAGCTTGAACCTTTTTGTGAAACACGATTGTTAGTAAGCGTTGAAGTATATACAAGGTTGGCAAGATGATAGGATCCCTTCCTCAAATTTTGAGATTAATAAAGATTTCTCCAACTAAAGAAGGGTTCATTCCGGATCTAATGCCATACTTATGGACACATAGTAGCAGTCTATCATGCGCTATATTGGTTTAAATTTGGTCAATTAACACTAATGAATAAATTCCAAAACTTTCAAACTTGAGATGTGGCATCATTATAGGAGCCCTATGTAAAAAATGTCTGTTTTCATGAGAAAAGCCTCTGGTTTCACATCAAAAATCGATATAAATTTTTTTCCAAGGACATCAATAGAAAGAGCCTCAAATTCTGCACAAGATAGGCTATTTCTTTCTTTATCGTAAGTGGATTTCAAACGTTTTGAAAACATGGTCTCATAAAATAGCCAAAGTGATGACTCATTCTGCCAGGAAAGAAGGTATGTTGGAGACATCAAAAAAGCCATGTTTTGGAGTGTGGGTGTGGGTGTGGGTGAGGTGCTGGTGTGAGTGCGGGTGTGGGTGAGTGTGGGTACGGAGTGTGGTTTTTGGCTCTGGGTATGGGTATGGGTCTCGGTCTGGGTCTGGGCCTGGGTGTTGGTGTGGGTGTGGGCGTGAGGAAGATAATATAAGCCACACTCACACCCAGTATTATTGGGTCTCATCCAAGAAAAAATAAGTTTGCTTAGAAAAGACTGTTTTCTGAACACTTCAAAATAAACTTCAGATAGTAAAATAAAAAGAAAGAATGTTAATGCTTGATGTAAGTAAATGATCAAATTCATTGCTATATTTGATCGTAACAATCACTTTAGAGATACATTCACACAAGAAAAGTTCAATGAAAGTATCAATTGCGGTAAAATACAAACTTTAAATGCATGAAAATAGTTCATATCAATTGATCAAGATTTAAGTGTGAGGGTGTGAGAGTAATGATGAGGTTGCATATTTCTTTCTTGTCTTCACTCTCAAAATAAATTACTAATGGATATTTATCTCCGATTATTCGTCTGATAACGTATCGATCATGTGGTAGACACGGATGAAAGTTCCCTGAGCTAGTATGTGATTAGTCAAAGAGGACGGCGAATTTGAGTGATTATGCAAAAGAATTCTGAACTAAGCAGAAATTCTGTTCAGAGCTACAGTTGGTGGGTGTGAGTGTGGGTGTGAATGATAATAGTAACACCTACCCCCACGCCCACACTTCACCCTTATTGGATTTTCTTCCTTAGTAGGCGCACCATGACTGATAACAATAATACAACTCTAAGGAAGAAAAACAATTTCTATTGCGTAGGAAAGATAAAGATATCATCTTGAAATCAAAGGAATACTACCATGATATTATCTTTAGTCTAGAAAGAAATAGAACAATCTCTTCGATTATCAGCGACAATGACATGATTTCTGTGTGGCTACTGCATGAGTAAAATACTGTTAGTCCACATCCACCTCTTATGAAAAGCTAAGAATATGAATAAATCGTTCTCTGATTTATTTCAAAAAGGAATGAGAGACAAAAGTTTTTGTTCTGGATTAATATTATCGTACTGTCTAGGCATATAAATCAAAGATCATCATCATAAACACCAAGATGTCTACCTTGACCACCATATCCTATGATAACAAAAAGAAAAATTGTCAAAAGGAAAAAGTATTATTTTTGCTTTATTTACCACCAGTTTCTTGCAATGTTAGATTAGAAAATTGAGATTGTATACCATAAGCATGTGGATGTTGTGTTCGACCAAACATTTCATATTTGCGTATATCATTGTCAGTAACAGAACGTCGCGCAAGTTTAATAGCTTCTTCAAAATGATGATGATGAATTTCGAGTTGTATGCCCTTTTCTATTGATTCACATATAGCAAACTTGCCTGCATGTTGACATATTTTAGTTAAATTAGCACCACTAAAACCCTTAGTTGCTTTAACTAATAATTTAATATTAACATCTCTGGCTACAGGTGATTTTCTCAATGCTGTTTTAAAGATAGATAAACGAGATTGATCATCAGGTAATGGAACATAAATTAATTGATCGAAACGACCTGAACAAATAAAATGAAGTTCTTTAGATCTCAATTCACTAAACATTAATTATTGAAATGGTATGAACAATAGGTATAAGTATATTCTTCATTGAAAGTCACATCGTTGAATCAAATATTGCTGACAAGCTCATCTATAAGAGATTCAGATTTTTATATTGATGATCTCTGTTTCGATAATGTTCACCTAGATAGTGAGATATATAATCATTATTCAAAGATAAAATCTGGATTATTTAATTAGATATTATGTATCGAAAAAAAATCTTATGTCTATAGACCATTCGAAAAATTTTCACATGTCAAATCCAAGAATTTATTTTCTTACCTAGTCGCAGAAAATCCGCATCAATAAGATCTGGCTGATGAGTTGCACCAATAATAAAAACATTCTTTTTGTCACTTATATCATCCATTTCACTTACAATTTGATTGGTAAGTCGATCGGCAGTGTCATTACTACTACCACGAAGTTTGGCTATAAACAAAAGTTTTTTTTTTAATTATTTTAATTATTTTTTTTTATCTTACCAATTGAATCCAATTCATCGAAAAAGAGCACACATGGTTCTTTTTCACGAGCTTTATTAAATATATCACATATATTAGCTTCGGATTCACAAAATAACATAGTTAATAATTTAGAACCTTTAACCGAAATAAAATTAGTTCTACACTTATTAGCAATAGCTTTTGCTAATAATGTTTTTCCTAAAATACAATATATTCATAGCAAAGATTAATTGTCATGGAAACAAAACCTACCACAACCAGATGGTCCATAAAGGAGAACATTACGTGATAATGACATACCAAGTTCGACGAATCTTTCAGGATATTCTATTGGATACTGAATAAGTTGTTGTAATTCACGTTTAACATTTTCTAAACCACCAATATCTTCCCATTTTACAGTTGGTACCTTAACAATAGTTTTACATAAAGTTGATGGATTTAATTGATTAAGTGCAAAACGAAAATTATCTTGTGTAACATATAATGAATCAAGAACTTCAGCATCAATTGTATCTTCTTCTAAATCAATAACATCCATTTTTTCACGAATTTGTTGTAATGCTGCTTCTGAACATAATGATGCTAAATCAGCACCAACATAACCATGTGTTTCATCAGCAATTTGTACAAGATCAACATCAACTCCTAATTTCATATTTTTTGTATGTATACGAAGAATTTCTAAACGATCAACAACATCTGGTATACTAATATCAATTTCACGATCAAAACGACCAAAACGACGAAGTGCTGAATCAATTGAATTTGGTCGATCTGTTGCTGCCATAACAATAACATGTGAACGTTGTTTAACACCATCCATTAATGTTAATAATTGTGAAACAATACGATTTTCAACTCCACCATGAGTTTTTTCACGTTTTGGTGCAATAGCATCAAGTTGATCAATGAAAATAATAGCTGGAAAATTCTAAATAAGTTAAGTTTTATAATAAAACAGAATGATTTCAATATTCGAAAATACTTTGAATATTTTTTAAGGACTCCGTCGAATTCAGTGGCCTATCCTAAACCAAGATGCTATATATGTGCTTTTATAGAACAACTCCTAATGCATCGAATATTTAAAATGCCATATACCAATTAAGAGATATTATAGCAATTGTGGGTGATATGACTAAATATGAAGACTCCGTATGTCTCCAAACCAATCTATATCACTTTGATAGAGTTTTATCTTGTTTTCAATCGTGTATATCTAATAATACTCACAATAACTTTCTTCTTCTATCTATTAATAATAAGTTCATCATATTATATCATTTGAGATATATGGATATTTCGAAAGAAATTTCGGTTTCAAATTCCTGAAGGTTGATACGAGAATGGACTATCAAAAATATTATTTTATTCTTTACAAATGTAGATTCCGAGTAGTCAAGTATGGTTACATTATGAAGCTCTATTAGTTTCAATACATATTCGGTCTTTCACCAGGATTAAAAATTTTGCATATCCTCGTAACTCTCGACAAGAGTTCGAAAAGCGAAAATATTTTCTTTTTCCATTTTCAGAAGATCTATAGGATACTATGAACTTATTATTAATAGATATAAGATTTATTCACTCAAATTGCGAACTCATGTGCTTCTCTGCCGTGAGGAATCAAATAATTGGTTCTGTTTGAGACATTGATTGGCTGATTTGATACTTTGATGCACTTCAATTACGAGAATGATCATCTTATCCAACAGGATTCTTTACAATATTTGTTTATCTTTTGAAGAGTTAATCTCGTTTTATTTTTACCTTTTCAGCTTCTTCGAAAGCTTTTCGTAAATTTGATTCTGATTCACCAGCTAATGTCGACATAATTTCCGGTCCATTGATTAAAAAGAAGAATGCACCTGTTTCATTTGCTACAGCACGTGCAATTAAAGTTTTACCTAAATTATATAATTTCTAATTAGTTTTGTTGATATTAAAACTTGTTTTACTCATACCTGTGCCAGGTGGTCCATAAAGAAGAATACCACGTGGTGGTTTAATACCAATAGTTTTAAATAATTGTGGATGTCTTAATGGTAATTCAACTATTTCTTTAATTTGTGCTAATTGTTTTCTCAAACCACCAATATCATTATAACCAATTTCATTGAAAGATGCTTCTTCTTCTTCACGTTTTATTGGATCACCTTCACAATGTATAACTGTATCAGGTGCAACAATACAATATGGTGCTGGATCAGTTTCAATTACTTTAAAATGTACAGCACGCATAGCTGCACATACAATAAAAACATCACCTTTTTTAACTGGTCGATATGCTTCAACAAAATATGGTTTTAAAAACACTTGAAATAAATTTCCTGTTATGCCTTGAACAGTATCATCAATAGGTAACACATGTATACGTTTACCATATTTAACATCTTGACATACTTGAATTGAAATAATATCACCGGATCGTACACGTAAATTATATCGTATAACACGATTCATTCGTATATGATCATTTGGACAAGTATTATCAGCTAGGAGAGTACATATTGTTTCACGACGTTTTTTACCTTTAAGTAAAACAGCATCACCACGAAATAAATGTAATTCATCCATTTTTTGTTGTGATAATGTAACAACACTATTATCATTATCGACAGTATCAGCAATAATTAAACGATTTGGACGATTTTTTTGATCTAATATTGCTGTCGCATATTTATCTTCCTTAGTATAAACAGGTCTAGCCATTTGTGTTTGGTTTTTTTTCAATGAAATGAAAAACTTGATATATAATCTAGAAATATAAAATCTATGTGTAAATGAACAATGATAAAGAAAATATTGTTAAATGATATTTTTTTGATGACTATTTAGGGGTGAATGTGGATGTGGGTATTGGTGGGTGTGGGGTGTGGATGTGGATGTGGATGCGGCTGTGGGTGTACATTTTCCTCACACCCAAACCCACACCCACACCCACATCTACACCCCACCCACCCAAACCCACACCCACACCCACATCTACACCCCACCCACCCAAACCCACACCCACACCCTCTATGAACAGTTTATTATTATGCCATCGAATGCAGAATTTAATTTTGAACAAAATGGTGTAACATAAACACCAAACAACGAAAATCTTTAGATTTTCCTGAATTAAAAACAAACAATGGCATAGGCCTGCCAGAAACGGGACTTTTGCGTTGTATCCAATTCTTGCTTAAAAAATTGTTCTTCCAAATGTTTTTTTTCTAAAAGTACGCAACATCATGAGATGCAGAATTTCACAGAGTACCTTGCAGTATAGTTCGAATTTCAGCAGAGCTTTATTTTAAAATATTTTTAATAATTGTTTTGCTTTCTGACAGTCGCAGTTCGACGATTGAGAGGCCATCAATCTATTCGATATGTCGTCAACAGTAAAAGTTTATTTGAAAAACAAAGTCGACAGTTTCGTAGAGCCAAAAATTCTTTATCGAATGAGCCTAAAACGGAATCTTTAATGCCTTGGAAAGTGCTCTTAAAAAAAGAGGGAAACATTTTGTCCCGTTCTTTATGTATCACCCGTTATATTTATTTTTTGTTCGTTTTAAAGAGCATGACAGAACATTTTTCTTTAAATTCTTACTTTTCAACCTGAAGAAAAGTAATTAGAAGTTCAATAACTCAGATTGAACTTCTCATTACTTTTCTCTAGTTTGAAAAGAAAGAACTGAAAGAAAAAGGTTCTGTCATGTTCTGCATTCTGACAAACCCTTTCAAGCAAAAAACAAAAATTTGAATTATATACAATCAAGGCCCGCAAAGAATTTTGGAAGATCAAATGAATTATTTTTGATCCTTGTTTGGTGAATGTCTCCCTCAAACGTAACGACATTAAGCGGATAATTTTAACATAATTTCTCCATGACAGTCCCAATATATCTTGAAAAAATTCACGCAATTTATACGTAAACTACCCGAAGTGATTTTTCAAAAAGGGTGGAAATGATCTAAAGCGTCCGAATACTTTTTGAACTGACTGTATAGTTTTTCGATCGCTACCTGATAAAACAATTCAAGACATACTCCATTTTTAAGAAATCCTCTACGCATCTTACTTGAAGTCAAATAAAGAGCTGAAGTGAGCAACAGTGTCGGGTCCTAACGTCTTCCTGTTTCTTGAAGACAGACTCTGGAATCTCAGTCATAATCTTGAAGTTCTAATGTCCTTGAGTCACTTATATGCATGGTTTTGCAATCAGTCATAGCCTTCACGATCTCAAACTCTCAATTGTTTTAAATGTAAAGTCATAAAGTCAACCAAAATCCTCGAATGTCGTAGAAACAAAGTCATGAAGTCAGTTGGAGTTGCGACATCATTAAGCTTTTATATTTGTTAAATTTAATACTTCTATCTGTATAATTTCAGGATGGGAATAAATCAAAAGACTTGAAACTTTCACAAAAAAACTATTCTCGGTAAGGTCTGTTTCTCTATAAAGTCTCAAGTCGAAAATCATTTTTTCTGATATTCCTGAAGAAGACTATGACATTCATTTAAAAACATACCATAAAAGTGACATACCCTGATTGCAATTAGCTAACTGCTCGAATTTTTTTCAGGGCATTCATAACTCATTTGTACCTACATAATGCACATAGTCTCAATCCAAAAGCGATTGAACAGTTGGTGACCTTCCCTCATCAGTAATATGTTGCTGCCATAATCGAAGATAGAACGTGTCACTAAACCAGAAACTATTGCTAAAATAATTATAAAGATCGAAAATCTATATTTTCCTCTTATGGTGAAATACCCAGAGTGAAAAATCCCAAAATTTCGTGAGTCACACGAAGTTTGATTCTGTTAACTAAGAATGTAAAATCGAGAGATCGATTAGATTGAATCTTGGAGAGGAGATTCTGGATTATGTAGGCATGTAAAAAAAGCCATTAGATCTCGATGAGAAAAACCAAAGATTGAAAGTTTGTTTTGAAGGTTTTTTTAAATGATAATATGCGCTTGGGCCTTGTCTATCGACTAGTGAAAACCGCAGGTCACTAGTTACTTCTGTTCCTAAGTTATTCAAAAACCAGCCACGCCTATTGTTTTTTGAAAAGGATAATGATTAAAATAACGAATAAGTTTGAGATGAAGACAACAAAGCGAATCAATGAGACTACTAACTATCAAACATTTATTAATCGATTTTCTAAAAGAGAACCCGATCATTGGAATCGATTTCAAGTCTAGTTCAATTATGTCTGATGCACAGATCATGTTAATAGTATATGTATGTTATTTAATAAACTTATTTCTGATTTTGGTATTATTCTGATAAGTTACTCACTGGAACGATATGAACAAAAACCAATAAATAAAGAAAATCTTGTGTTGAGGTGCTGCTAAATAGATCTGATGTTGTATATGTAACACTGCTTGTTTGTTTTGGCGAATGATTCTTTTTTTACCTTTGCAGCATGGCGAATTTATTCGTTTCTTACAGTTCGTTATGTTGTGTAGTTGTCTTACTTTTTCTTTGATTTTTTCATGACACGCGCTATGACGAACATATTTATACCAGATATACATCTGGCACACAAAACGATTCGCCTGAGTGATTTGTTTAGAATAAATATTACATGTGAAATAACATCAAAACTATGTATACGTCAAAAGATATCGAAAAGCAAAAGGTAGTAGAAATAAATTATATTATTTTTGTTTTGAGACGCATCATATGTTATAGTCATGCATTAATACATATCAATAACATTTCTCAAAGCAAAAAATTTCGATAGACATTCTCATATGCAATTGACATAGAGTTATTACAATTGTACACACTCCTCTTTATATTACTTCGAACACTTTATTCTTCAAAAAACCTCTAGTTTAATGATATTAAGACATCAACAAGGTTGAATGCTTAATAATGATAATATATATTATATAATAGAGTTTGTAAATGTAAATATTTTTTTTTTATTTTATATATGTACAAGGTGTCCCAAAAGGCTCGTGGGGATCAGTTTTTCGTTTATCTTTACTATTTGATTTAACTTCATCAACAAGTTTTTATTTCTATAAACAAAGTTCAGAAATATTGTTCAAAGCTGTCATCTTTAACTGAAATACAAAAATTTTGCCTTATTTCTATTTCCAAAAGAAAAACATTACGTAGCGTTTTTTTCTTATAATTATTTCGACTTTCTGAATTATTTTAATTTTTAAATCGTTTAGATATTTGTTTAGCTGTTGGTTAATAAATATAGCTGTCATATTCGGACTCAAATAATCCTTGTACCGCTATAGAATTTTCAATGAGCTCACTAAACTTGCAGTGTGATTCAGATGTGCAATGTGAAGCAAGCTGATCGTTGAGCCCTTCTTTTTGATGAATCAATGATTGATCAATACAATAATACCTTGACATGCTTTAAAGCTTGTATTAGCTAATTTTAGAAGAAAAAAAGATTACTAAAAAGGTGCTTTCACAATAATATTGGACACTAGTGTATTTCTCGAAGACACTGTTCACACTTCATCTTGTAGGTTTCTGTAAGTTTTGCATCAAAGAAAAGATTAAAAAATTTTTCAATATACAGATTCTTATAGAACTCGGTGAGCTCTATCTAACCATATGAAAAGATATCAAAGAAAAAATTTAGGCGATTTTTGAATTACTGGCACTTTATCAAGAAAGCTGAATTTTTATATTTCGATCGAAGGTGATAGAGTTGATAAAGTTATATCAAATAGCAAAGATAAATGAAAAACTTATTCTCAAGGGACTTTTCGGTCTTTAAACGACTATTGCCAACCTGATAAGCATAGTACAAAAATAAACGAAAACGAAAACGAAAAATATGATGATGAAAAAATTAATATGAATCTATATTTAGCGTCATAGACATATAACATCATTGTAATATTTAATATAACATCATAATCTAAGATTATGAATATGAATCATTTGTCTCTCGACTGAAGGAAGGATCGTACGAGATAAAATGCGTTTATTTGTGTGTCCGCATTTATTGATGTAATTTATAAAGTTTGACTACAGGTAATCGAGGTCGAGAAATTCGAATCTGTAATCGGTTTTTCAAAATTTTGACTTGGATTTTTTTTGTAATTGAAAGAATGTTTTACAAAAATTATGATTCTTCCGTGAAGTGCGAAGGGAGTCTTGCTGGAAAAACTGACTAACTTTATATGTGTATGTTCATGCATGTTTGTTTAGAATCACGTATAAAGTTGTATGCTTCGAATATTTCTAAATCATTATACTAACTATGTAGAATGACTGCTTGAAACTGTATTTTCAGCGAATCGGATATTCACACCATTCAGATTTTCTCCAATCAGGCTAATCGGTGCTGAGATTTTAGCCAAGCAAATGCTGTTGATATCTCGATCTCGTTCAATCCACACTTTCTCTTTTTAGGATCTCTGTAAATCAGAGAGGTCTGAGTGTGGGTGGATGTGGATGTAGGCTGGGTGTGGGTGTGTCGGTTTCATTCATGGGAATGTCCATACCCACACTCATACACTCACACCAACATCCACACCCACACCCACACGCACACCCACACTCACCACACCCACACCCACACCCACACCCACATCCACACACTCACCACACCCACACCCACACCCACACCCACATCCACACCCACACCCACACCCACACCCACATCCACACCCACACCCTTAATTCCATTTTTTGTATCCGAATGTATTTATTCTACGCTTGCTG